TATATATATAGATATATATATATATATATAGATATATATATAGATATATATAGATAGATAGATATATTCCCTGCTTTTTAACCTAACAACTCACAACACATTTAAATGTCAGTTGTCGTCAGTTTTGTACAGAAATTGGTATGTTATATGCATGGTTGTAAATATTGTTATTTTTTAGGCTTAATAGCCTTTATACCATTAAGCAAATTGTGAGAAATTACTATGGCAGTAACAACACAAAAGCAGCAATGCAGCAAAACTGAATGTGGGGTACTGTAATAATGGAAAGTAACTAGCAGTATAGAAATGTATATTAACCAATATGCACCCCAGCTAGATGGCTAAACACGAATTTCTGTTTGGCTGGGGTAAGATCAGAGGATATGGAACCACTAAACCCATCACATCAGACAGTAAAAACCTGTTATATGGTTGCTATATATGTTGGAGAATGGGGATTTAAGATGGTTAACAAGGATGGCTTTGGATGGCGTTTCTCCTTTTCATTCGCCTTGTCTAGCTGTATAGAGTAAAACATATTACGTTGTGTACATTAGGTTCTGCATCACATTTCACATCTTCAGATTTATGATGTTGTGTTTTTGGAAAAACAAACTGCTACAATTGATCATATAATTACTTTAGAGGCCCCCAAGTAACCTGTGTTCTCAATATATATGACAAGCTTTCACAAGATAAGTTCAGGGAAATAGACGATTGGAGCCAACAGAAAAATGAAACTATGCTATGTAGTGGCACTTTGAGACTTTTAAATGATGATATGTGGGTGACTTATGGTGGATACCAATAGCAGCATTAATCTGCACATAGACAGGTGCTTTGGGAATATGAAGAACGTGAAGTTTAAGGGAACGAGTTTTCCTACAGCCTACTTGCATCAGTTTTTCTGCCATATACATTAAAGTAGTACTTTTTTCTACATGTCAGGTGCCAAAAAATAGAGAAGTACATGGACAGGCAGAAATGTAGATGAATTTTGGGATAAAATATTTTCTGCATTAGACACAATGCAATGTGCATGCATGCCTGAAAGAGGAGTATGTTCTTGTAGTGTCAAAAACCCTGGGAACTCTTTGTTTACCAAGTACTGTTCAAGAATTTAGATTGTAAGCCCTCACGGGCAGTGCCCTCCTTACTATCTTGTCTTAAATTGTATTGTGACTATAATGTCTTCCTTATATTGTAAAGCGCTGTGCAAACTATTGACGCTATATAAATCCTGTATAATAATATAATAATAATATGACTGGGGTTATGGATTTAATACAGACAGGAACACAGTGAGGCATTTAATTTGGTCATGGTGCACTTAATCACATACTCATGACTTTTGCTTCCCAGGACAACCCCTCCCTATAGAGTCTCTCCCATCCTATGGAACTCTGACTGCCTTTAGGCGATCCCTTAAGACTCATCTCTTCAGGGAAGCCTATCCCACCTCAACCTAACCAGTGAACCATCACATTCTCAAACAATTCATCCCCACACAGCCACCTCCTCATGTATTACTTGCCCCTCCCTTTTAGATTGTAAGCCTTCATGGGCAGTGCCCTCCTTACCACCTTGTCTTGAATTGTATTGTGATTGTAATGTCTTCCTTATATTGTAAAGAGCTGCGCAAACTGTTGCCGCTATATAAATCCTGAATAATAATAATAGGAAAACACTGTTCAATCTTGAACATGGTTATTTTCACACAAGTACATTTTCAAGAGGTCAGCAACTTGTGCTGAGACTTAAATTAGGCAAACAAAATAAAAAATAAAAAAACAGCCTTTCTAACCCTTGGCGTTGGTGGTGGGGGGTGGAGGGGGGGTGTGCAGAAAAGTGATTTAGTGGACTGAAGGTCTTTTTTGGAAGTATAATAAAAATCCAGCTATTACTACTAGGAAAGGTAGACAGTAATCTTTTTTTTTTTTTTACGAGTAGAATGACTATAAAGGTGTTTTTTTGATCACCTTTTGTTTTTTGTTCTCCAACTGCATTGTAAGCATTTCCAGCCTCTATTTTGGTCTTGGCTTTCATTTCATTGTTATCTTTTATGTCTGTCTCATCTTTGTGCTTTTACAGCTCACATTCTTGACATTCTTGTGCATTTTCTCTCTGTTGTTTACACCATGGATGCAAATCTTCTTTTCATGTCAGATCCTGCCCTCTATCCCATCACACAGATCCACTCACAGCAGTTGTACAGGTATTCAGTATCACCCAGGCTGTAAAACTACAGTGGGTCCAGCAAACTTGGCAAGGACAAGCCGGCCTCTCAATTCCCCTCAAAGTAATAAGAGTTGTGTCCATTTTGATGATTATGGACACTTTTCTACTCATTACATATTCTTAAGTGTCAGTCCACTCAAAAATAATATTTTGTCAATTTAAACAGTTCAAGACTTAAACATCACCAGTGACCTAAATTGATAAAAAAAAAAAAACCTACTTAATCAACACAACAAAATAAAAACATTACTTAGCAAATGTCTCGGTTTGTGTGATATCAGTTTTCTTTGCATTGCTTTATTATTGTAAAATTGTATGCAATGCATGAATAAATCCAGAATGGATAACTTTTCTACCCTAATCAGATTTGCTATTTGAAAGTTGTATTCTCGTTATTATTCTTGCTATAATTTTAATCTTATTATTATTCCCTGATAAAGCTTTGAATCATCTGACTTTG